TCAACTTGGGCACGAACGCAACCGTCGGGGTCGTGCGGGGAGAGGGGAAAGCCTCCACCGCCGCACGTGACCCCGTGCGTGACCCCGTGCGCGTGCACGCGCGGCCGTGGTGGGGGGGACAGGGGCTCTCCTACCTACTTGGGGTTGAGTGGAGAGCCACGTGGCAGGGCCCTGTCGCAATCAGCATCCCTCCCCTGATTGTTTAATTCAGAGTGGCGCGATAATGCACCCAAAGTGCCCCGCCACTGGAGGGTTTTATTGCGCGGCAATTTGGCCGCGATGAGATTCAGCGGCGGGGTTTTTTTTTATAAATGCGGACGCTTTAGCACCTGAGTAATTAATGGGCGTGTGCCAGATGGAACTTCGCGCTTAACAATGGAATCATTACCCCTCCATACCTCTGTTCGCTAATGCTTTATAGCTGCGGCTGAACAGGCTCCGGCGCTTTGCATATTATCTGTGATGTCGCTAGTTTTTTTTTTGTAATATGCAGCAGAGCTAGGAAATCTGGCTTCTTGGAGTGTGTATTATGCTAATATACATTTACTGGGTTTAGATACCTTACCTTAATAAAAACAATGCAGTCACCGTTAGTGAATTAAATACATAACCGTTTAGGAGGGGGGGGCGCGGGGGATAAAACATTTTAATGACACTCTTCCATTATAAACGTAAAATTGTCGTTACCATCGGCACTGTTGCTGCTTAACATGGAAAGCGTTTCTTTTTTGTAGCATATACGTCGGTTTACATCACCGGACTAAGCGCTGTTGCAGGTTGCTCGTTTTGTTCGTTTTGTTTTCACGCTCTAGCACATGACTGCTTAATGCATTCGCCTGGCCTCACAGTAAACGCGTTCGGAAAAAAATCAGGCATACCGGACCTCGAGCCAAATTTTTTTCATTTAAGTGAATATTTATTTTCTACAGAGAGAGCCTCCGTTGAATCTAAACCATGTTTTTAGAGTGCACGATGCACAGCAGTAAGTATCTGTGAAGGGTTTGCAAATCTCTGGGTGCATTTTTGCCGAAACGTAGTTGTTAATGCCGGCATACAAACCAAACCTGCATCGCTCACGTTTGCTCAGATATGTTTTTTTTCTTTTCAATGTGCAGATAATGTATATATTTTTTAACACAGATACGCATCCCCCACGCAACACAATTAACTTATTTACGGTGAGGAGAAACAGATCTGATCTATCCGCTCCCCCAAGTTCAATGTAAAGGAATTTGTTACAGTTCTTGCCTGCAGTTCCCCCGATCAATAAACAATTAGCAGATCCAGCCAGCTGCGTTCGGGGCCATGTCAAGAAATACCCAGAGGCAAAAGGTATTTAACCAAGGCCAGGCAGGAAAGCTCACCCCGCATTACACAAATACATTGTAAAGGCGCAATGTTTCAAGACCAATGATTTGTTTCGGCATTCGTTGCTATCTTTTTTATGTTGTGAATGTCTTGGTCGGCAATGTATCGTGTCTTTTTTCCTTTTTGTGTTCATATCAAACAGCTTCCTGCGCGTTATTTGTGTATAAAATGATAACGGGAATGGAATCAATGCCTACCCCCCCCCCGCATTTGCAATTATGATTTAAACCCTACATGTTTAGCAAATGTATTGACGTTGTGTTTGTACGTGTTTCTTGCTTATTCCCTGAAAAGCGAATGCAATAATTCGCATTGATTTTAAAAACAAAAGCTACGTAAAATAGATTTGTTTTTAATTGGCAGGCAGGTTTCATTTTCATACCTGATAAATGGCAATTAACAAAACGTTGTAGTTGCACGATTTATTGGTTCGATTTTTGAGCACTGGAGGGAAAGACTTGGTCCAATTAATTGGGTGTTGTTGTTCCCTGAGGGGAAAGCAGTTTGCAACAACAAAAAATACACAAAAATATCAGTGAGGCGAATGGGTAAATCACATTTGAAAACCGTGCAAACAACTTACACTACCTGGATCGCCAATTGAAAATGTGTCACCCCCGAATACTGCACACGTATATAAAAATTACTCGTTTACCAGAAAAAGTGGGTTTTAGATTGCCGAGGGCAATAGATTTGGGTACCACTTTTTGGTCAACAGTTGTTGCATTTTTTGAGAGACTCTCAAAGTGGAATTTCCACCACTGGCTCAGACTTTTAGCCTCAATCAGGCGTCATCCTGGTCGTGCAAACCGAGGACTCACTTTTACATGTCCCCCGTCGGCTCTTAAAATTTGGGGTAAATCGGCGGTGCATTGGTTAGCATAGTGTCTTTTGAACCCTGTCAGTTGAGTTAAATTTGCCAGCCATGGCTAGCATACGCGGTCCTGTATGTGATGTTGAAGCCTCTTATGAGCCCCTTGCCTTGATAACCCCGCAGTCATGACCATCGTGGCGAAGTATGGTGAAACAGAATCCCTACAACTGATACGGTTGTGTCCGTATGTATTTTTAACTTCTTTCGCACGGTACATCGCCAACCGTGCTAATCGGAAGTGCAGCTTTGGGGATCTTTATTCAGTTATGGATTGACAAAGGGTTTGAATGTATTATTATTATTTCATAACTACACCTCTGATTAACACGGTTGGCTACGTACAGTGCGAATTAAGTTCGACGTACATGCATACATACCTGCCAAACGACCAAAAAACACATTGAAGAGAGAGAGAGAGAGCTTTGCAGGACAAGCCCAGAATGTACAAATGAACCTTATGGCAATGCCCCGGGGCGCCATAGTATCCCGGTTATCGCATAATGTCCGTGATGCAGTCATTGTTCGTCTGTTGATGGTCGGCGATGCGGCAATCGACTCATCTCGACGAGCTGTACTCACGACGCACCACTACGGTGCGTACCTCGAGCGTTCAGGGTTTCGGCGCAATCGTCCTCGCTGCGTTTCGACATCGCGGAGTGGCACTGATTTTAGATTGATTGGTTGGTACCCCAGTCGCGGAGTGAAGTAACACCCCTGGAAAAAAGTCCCTGAAATAAAATATTTAATTGCCTCGGATATTTCGTATTATTTCGTACCCCGGGGTACCGCCATAAGGATAAAATACTGTCGTAGAATTATGATCGGTACAATTTAAAATGTGACTTTTTTTTTTTTTAAAGAAGCATATTATTTTGCCAAAACTTTTAAAATAATACCATCAAAATAAGCAAATTAGTAACAGGAACATTTTTTTAAAGCAAACTAAAGCTGAATAATTTTGATATTTATTTGTTTATCACCAGTGCTACTGCGGAATGATTGAAGACTCAATTGGGACGGCATATCGAGGCGGATAGTGTGTAAAATGCAATTCGGTGCCTTCTCGAGGGAAAGTTTTGTAAACAAGAAGAAGGTTCCATTAATCAACTTGGCAGACTACTTATTTGCAGCACGGCATTATTTCGGATGTTTGTCTTCGGGTTTCCAGTCTGAGCGTTTAACATCTGTCGGGTGCATGACGCAACAATTGACAAACAAACAAAACCCCGAACGTAGCGCTTGCTTGCGCATGTGCCTACGTACATGCATGCACGCGTGCGTTTGTGTGCACACGTATGGGCCAGGGTTGTATGGCTAACGCGTGAGGGGGAAATCATGCGCATACGTGAACTGCATAACGCTTTCCGATGTGCGTTTGTTTTCAGCGGTGTGGAAGCCGGTGGGTAAATGTCAGGGCTAATCGTCCTTTTTTGCTCTGATTTGTCTCCCAAAATTTGGGTGACCATTTCATCAATTTTGTCGGTTTGCGATAGAGTAAGTCCTTCATAGCAACATAACTTGCTACTACAGGTTTGTTCGCATCTCAGCTTTATGATAGTTCTGCCTTCCCCCCCCCACCACCCCTCTGCTCTGTTATGAACGGACTGACGGATAACGTATAAACCCTTTAGTAACAAATTGCATACAAATATATACGTTACAAGTGGCAGGGATAGAGCTGTTAAGATGAATCATTGGTTCATCGTGGCAGCAGAACTGGGACCACATGCATGCGCGGGAGCCAGATGGTTTGTGGGGAACCTTTGGCCGTATTCAAAATTCCCACAAGCTTAACAATTACAGTGTTGGTGACAGAATATATGTATGTGTGTATCTTGTGACTCAGGAGAACGAGTCTGGCTCTGCATGTTTGTGGCTGACTATAATGTTTGCTCGCAATGTGCAGTGCTAATTGTCTCACCTATAAGAAGTGACGAACAATGGGCCCTTTCAAATGGTGGCCAATGAAACCAATATTGTGTTGTCTTTACATAATGCAATTTTGTGAGTCTCAAATGAATGTAAAATTATTTAAATGTAAAAACGTCTACACGTTTCACTATGTTATTCGGGTGTGTTTTCTCTCCAGTGTGCACTAATGGAAAAAAAAAACATGTGCATGTACATTTTCTAAAAAAATAATTTCAAACTTTCTCAAGATTTCCCAGTGGTTTCAAGGCACCACAATGTCCAGTGCAATATCCCAACTATGGGTCAGTCAATCACTTTGCCTTCTGCTCTGAAGGAAAATTGCCAAGATCATTTGCCTACTCGAGTATGTGTGTTTTTTTTTAATTTACAATTTACCTAGGGCCCTTAACTTATCCAGAAGTGAACAAAAAATATTCCGTTTGTTTTCTACACAACTGCCGGTGCAAGTCTCTTCATTTGTTTTGCCTCGAATTGTATTTTTTGTGGGTTTGAGTATTGCTGCACTCGTTTACTGCTCTGCCCCCTGAACCTCGTGACCGGAGTTCAATTCTCGACCACGTCTCTAACATCAGTGACGAGTGATATCTGAACCGGTCCTGTTTGCCCTCCCCCCCCTAATCGTCCAACCTTCATCAAACCTACATTGACCACCATGGTGAAGTATGGTCAAACAACACCAATTCCCGGCAGAGCATGGGGAGACTTTCACCCAACATAGAATTGACAGAGGGCTTGCACTCTTCCCTGCAGTGTATACACATTTGCATATTTTCCACAGGCTCTCTCGTCTAAACGTCCGTGCGCCCTGTCCTCTGTCTCGCTGCAGGTGGAGAGGGAGATCGCCATCCTGAAACTCATCGAGCACCCGCACGTGCTGAAGCTGTACGATGTCTACGAGAACAAGAAGTACCTGTGAGTGCTGTTCCCAGGATAGATCCTGATTGGTGCGCGTGGGGTAGCCAATCCTGACCAATGGTCTATTCGACCTGCGAACATTGAGATTGGCTGGGGAGGTCAAACGGGGAATGTGAAGGTGAAGTCACGTAGAATGGAAGTAATAAAATAATAAAAATAAAACATAATAAAATAATTTTCACGACGTTTCGGCCACAACGCAAGCAGCCGTCCTCAGGTGAAGAACAGGTCTGTCGGAAACGTCGTGAGAATAGTATTTTATTATATTTTATTTTAATTAATTTATTATCTCCCTTCTACGTGACTTTACCGAAAGAACCAAGAAGATGAATCCCTGCAGTCACGAAAGCTTTAAATCGAAATTTAATGTGAAGGTGGTTATTTAAAATGTATATACTTTTTTTTTTTTAATTATGTTTCAATAGAAGCCTGGCAAAGGGGACAAACCGCGACGACGCAAGGGAAGGGGGTACAGAAACTCCGCGGGCCACAGGCCACGAACCCTGTTGTGCACACCTGGGTTTAAAGAAGGAGGGGGGGGGAGCGGGCTCGCTGCAGAATGTGAGAGCATTTTTAAAAGGTCAACGGCTTGGAGAGCTTAGGGAAGGGGGGGGGGTACAGGACCCCTCCTCCCCCCCATATAAGGGACGGGCGAGGAGAGCATGGGTTCCATTGAAGTTCTCCCGACGTATAGACTGTATTATAAATTATAAATTCAACCTTTGACGAGCTCTCCATATGAGTGCTGGACTCTTACAAGAGTATTGGGGGGGGGGAGGAGGGGGGCAATGCTGAAGTGGGGGGCAGGGTCAGACAAGGGGGGCACCTCGTGCCTCTCCAGACTGGAAATTAAGCGGGCAGTGGCAGCCGGTGGCTAAAACCTCGTGCGTGGTGCAGCGTGGGTTGGCGCCTGCCCCAGTGGCGTAGCGAGGATATTTTGCGCCAGGGGACGAACTATAAAATTGACGCCCCCCCCCCCCCCGTTTAATCACATACCAAAATGTAATTACATGACATGTAGGCTGTGTGTGGCGGGATACATAAACGTTTAGGTTGAGGTGTAGATTTGTGCAGTAGTTTCAGGCTGCCGCGCCCGCTGCAATAAGTTATAATGTAACGCTGTAAGTCTCATTTTGGCGCCCCTTTACCTTGGCGCCCGGGGACACGTGTACCCCCCTGCCCCCCCGAGCTACGCCTCTGGTCTGCCCCGTGGGCCCCAATGGCTCGCTACGCATCTGTGGAGTGGCGTCACCAGCCACCAACCACAACGTCGTGCCATCAAGTCGAAAGCTAGCATGGAACTCTAGGCCACGCCTCAGCGGCATCACTGAATACTATGGTAGAAAAACAAATATTGGTTGAATTGTTCAAAGAGTAGGCCACAATTATGAGAAAGTCTGATCAATACTTAAATATCTATTGATTCCAAGAAGGCATTAATCGAACATTTGACGAGTCACATTTTCTCTTCCTGTGATTCTTTCCAATTGCAGTGGCTTTCCATAGCATTGTTTTCACACACAAATCACCCATCAACGATCTTCCTGCTCTTTTTGCCTCCACAGTCACCCATAGCTTGACCGTTCGCACACATGCCATGGTAACTTGTAGACTGATTGGAATGTTACGGCGGGTGACGTTAGCGAACACCAGTTTTGGTGAGTCGGGCACACAGAGGTAAATTGTGGAAGAAGCAGCTCCGTCATTACCCATCTGCCTTTGTCTTCCCCACTCTGGACTGACATCCAACCACAATCAGAATCTTTATTTAGACTTGGAGGAATCCGATGAGCTATAAAGCTCTTTTTCACAGATCTCCAGTATGGGTGGGTCAGCAAGTTACAACAACAAACATTCCAAATAACGATGGGAGTACAAAATAGAGAAAATGGTAAGCAAGTCACTAAATATAAATTAATGAAACATGAATTAGTCACATAAGTTCGATACATCAAATTTGGCAAGTCCGTAAAAACAACAACAAAACAGTCCCAGACCACACCAAGAAACACTACACAATAGTCCCTCAATAAAATTGCACATTAATATTGAACTATCGACACACAGGTAATGATCAAAGTTACAAACGGTGCCTTATACAGGTGGCAGCAGTCCTGTAGCACCGGGGGTGGGGGCTGCTGAAGGATACCCCCCAGTCTATATTCTTAACGTAAAGTCAAAACATGTTGGTACAATATTTCGCAGCAGTGGTGTTTTTTTTCTCTAATTTCGCCAATTCGGCAAACACCCATAACTATGAGCACTCTTTGAAGAGGGCCTACAGATAAAATACAGAGTTGGGTACAATTTAAGTGACGGGCACAAAAACCTTTCCTCATACACAGAGAGGTGAGAAGTAGCGACGAATGTAGGAAAGCAGGATAGACAACAACAACATCACATATTTACTCATTCTCTTCGACGGTTTAACGTGCACTTTAAAGTTTGTTTGTATATGGCCCCCTCCCCACTCACATGCGTTTACACACAGAAGCTCACACGGCAGCGATGGGCCAAAGTAAACTCTCGGGGAGACAAGAAATCCGGGCAGATGAGCGCGATCGCAGTTGGCACTGATACACACGGGCAAAGGAAATCGAAACGCCGTTCACAACGGCTGCTGCTAATCGGCCTGTCACTACTCGCCCTCACGGACGCGAGCGGCGTCCGTGGCGTGTGCGTTCGTGTTCACTTAACTACGGGGTAATGATCACCGCTTTCCCAATGCGGCCACGACAAGACTCAAAGTCCCTTCGCGTGAAACCGGAGCACCGTTGGAGGAGGACAGTCCCGTAATTGGAAATCGAGTAAAGTCTTCATTGCATTTTGCTTGAAAGGATTTGTACTATTTTGCCCGCTGCCTGCCAAGTTTACCATAATTAAAGTCAGCTGGTGGTTGCGTGCGCGTGTGTGTGTGGCGTTTCTTTGTTGTGTTGTTATCGCTAGCTTTTGATGTGCCTTCTCTTTGTACATTAATTCTGCTGTAGCTGAGCACATTGATATATTAACATATTGTTATTTATTTATGCGGAAAGTCACATCAATTTTGGAGGGGGACGGGGGGAGAAACACAATAATTTTCAAGTTAGCACTATCAGTTAATGTCTTTAAATGCAAAACTGTGAGTCGGTTTTACATTTGTGTTTCTCAGATAAAACGTGCAAGATGACTCCGTAGCCCAATCCATTAAAAAGTTTGCAATGAATTGAAGGTCCCCTTTACACGTATCACTTAAATGGGCGCCTTCACTTGCGAGCAATACAGAGAACGGCCGTGTGTCGTTGTGAGCCAGCGAAACAGCGCAAAACCCTTGTGCGCAGAAATGGTTTAATCTGCAGTTAATCGCTAGTGCCTACATGCAAAAGAATTGCGAATAGGTCAACTCCACATTTTTTTGGTCGTAACCGTCTCAAGGGGGGGGGGGGGGAGAATGGGCGAGGGGGGATAGGGGAGGTTTTGAGCCCCCCCAAAAACCCATTCAGCGCTGTGCAGATTATTATAGATGCGGTGCCCTCTTCGCCTTGTACGTGGGCGGCTAACCTCGTTGGGAGCGCGTTGCGTCCCCCCCGCTCGCGTTTGCTGCACGCTCGTTGCCCACTCTTCTGCAGGGGGGGGTTTTCTCTCGCGTCTCTATCTCGCAAAATCGCCGCCCGCAGGCTTTATAGCGTTGCCTGTGCAGGCCGCGACTGTTTTTAGCATAACGGGTCATGGGCAAGTCCCCGCGCCGCGGCACAGCACTTTGCCAACCCCATTACCCTCCGCTCACACGCGGCCAGCGTGCCAGGCCAAGCGATGATTGCGGGGAGGTGGGGGGACCAGCCCCGTCGGAAGCTCTGCAATCGGCCCTGCTCCCAAATGACAATCACCGTTATCTCTCCTCTCTCGCGACGCTATCTCGTACGCGGCTACCCGCTCATCAACTTTTACCTCTTCCCGTCTTGCTCACATCCCGCACTCGCACCTAAAGTGGAGGAAGGAATTTAAGTAGGTGCCGTGCAAAATGCCCATAATCACGCGTGACAGGAAGATTAATGTATTTTGGGGGTAAAGAGGTTTTTTTCAGATTTTTTTTTATTTTTTTATAGTTTTATTTCATGTTGCGCTGCTGCAAGATAACTGAAATGCAGCCTTGGTCTAAAAGGCAGAAGTGAAGTGAGCTGTCATGTGCAACACTTTACCTTCCATGAGCCTCGCTGGCACCACCATATCTGATTTCACCTTGTTATTGCATATATATGTGTGCACACCCTCACACGCACTGACTCCTGCTTCTTGAATGAACAAGAGCATATCTGATGCGATGTCTCGAACAAAAATATAAAAAAGATGAATATATGTGTCCCTTGGGAGACATATTCAATTATTAATCTTTCATCTGTCCAGCTATTATTCTTGCTCCTTCATTGTGAAATGGCTCTGCCACTCATCTCACAAGATAGAGCGCATATTGCGTCTTCCCGTTCTGCAAATTTGGAGCGAGTGAACAAAAAAAGCCTTTATCTCCACGAGGCTCAATGTGCAATATCAGACCTAGGCTGATTTGCTTGCTGTGGCAGTGCCCTAAATTGCCGTCGAGGGGGAGAGGTTGAGTGGGGTTAGTCATTCAGGTCTCGGCCTCATTTCCACGCTTTGCTTTCAAGAAACACCCTCCCTCCCGTCGTGGTTTCTCCCACGCTAATTGCGGGACCAGCCGTGTTGTCTCTTGTCAAGGTGTGCTGATTTTAGCATGGGAGAGCCCAAGGAGCAAGCCACCGTGGTGGTGAGAGGGGGGTGAGGACGGGGCGGGCGGGCGGGCGGGCGGGGTTTCGGGGAGTGAGTTAGGTGTTGATTGGACGGCATGTAATGGCACACTGGTGTGCAATTATATCGAGAATAACGAGGCACACATTGTAAAATGGGACCGAAAACAGTTTGTACACACTCGGCCGCTCGGTAGAGCCACTTGCACAAATTGGCTTCTTTGGTTTTTTTGTTCCACTGCCATGTTTTCGGCGTGA